TCACCCGACACCCCGCTCACCCGACACCCCGCTCACCCGACACCCCGCTCACCCGACACCCCGCTCACGCGACACCTCGCTCACGCGACACCTCGCTCACCTGACACCCCACGCACCTGACCATCTTGGGATTGAATAAAAAACAATACTTGGAAGTATTTTATTATTATTTTTTATCATAATGCTAGGAGCATAAACTAAATTGATTAAGAGGTAGTCGAGGCATTCTAGCGATTTCTTCAAATATTAGTGTTGACTCTTACATTCCTTCATCCTCTCATTTCAGATTGCCTTTTTGTGAATTACAATTGATCCCGAAAAGAACACAAATCACTGACAACGAATGTCGATTATGAATTCGGCTGTTAATAAAAAAGTATTTATTTTTCTGTGGAATTTTTGCAAGTAAAATTTATATAACATGTTTACAAATCCTTGAGAAGAAATTCAATTATAATTGCGTAATCTACGATGATCAATAGGATCACGTTCCAAATAATGGGAAATTCTTACCGAAACCCGTCGGATATCTGGCAACTCTGTCTGTACCACCCCCCTCCCCGACTCCGCGCGGCCCAAATTATTTATTCCGGCAGGCGCGCGTTCGTCGTGTCCGATCGCCTAACCCCCCTGCGCCGGATATTAAAGATATAAATGTTGCTGTCCAAATGATACCATCGGTAACATTTTATATCTGCCAGTAGAAATGAACATTGGATGTAAAGCATTTATGATGTAATACGCTGTATCTACAACAGGGTACAAACATCGTTATTTATTGATGCCAAGTGTTGGCAAAAGTGCGTTGCCTACTTCATTTACAATGGAATGGTTTCATGAGAATTTTTCTCCGTTATAAACCTCGCTGTTGTACATTTGAAGTTGAAATATCGCATGTGTGAACTCGTATAATATTCATATTCTAGAATGTACCCTCCCTCGCTATTCAGCTTCGAGATAAACAAGTGTAACGCTACAAAACAATCCGCATGAAAAATGTAATAGGACTTTGTCAACTTTTATTTAACGTAAAAAACACTAAATAAAGGCCACGTTTGAACGAGAACTACACTCAGCGTATGATTATTGAACTCCAGGCCGTGTTAGGTGCCTCAGAGCATCAATTCATGACTGCAGTGCCTCTAACTGCACAGAATGTAGGAGGTCATGGGGTTTGGGTCCCGGCGATGGCAGGATTTCCGACACCAGGCTAGACACGCCAAATGCTAGGTCAAATTCTGCCGCTGCCTGCAGGAGAATTGCATCGGCTGGCTGTTCTGATCGGTAGTTTTCCGTGATTTCTTCGATATCCTCCATGAAAATGCCGGAGCAGTAGCCTACTCACAAAAAGGTCACGACGGCACGCGGTTTTTCCTTCCTCTTCCTTGTCCTTCGCTCATCCCTTGCTTACATACAATTTCACTAACAAGCACTACACTGCCACAAGATGGGGCCATCTTGGCTGCCACCAAGTCGTACCCATCCCGTTTTTCAGTTTTATGTTTTTATCCGACCATGTTGTGAACGTTTGTAAGTGATCCACGTTGTTTACGTTTTTTCGAGAATATAACCTAAAAATCTTTCACTTCATTTCAGATTGAAGCAGTGTCATTACATCTACAAAACCGAAAGTTTACTCTGGGAATGTGATAATTAATAAAATTATTATAACTTTGATTGTGGAGGAGTGTTTCATTTCTCACATTATAGATTTCCACAAGATATCTGCCCCCACCACGGAACGTATTTCGTAATTCGTAGTTCGAAGTCGCTTGCGGTGCTCACATGAGTCGCCACCAGCGCTGCGTGTACTGGCGCGGGCGCGCGCGCTGCTGGAACGTGTCCCAGCGCCAGTGCTCCAGCGCCAGCGCGACGGGCAGCAGCGGCACGCGCTCCAGCGCCGCCTCCATCAGCAGGTTCAGCTGCGCCTCCCACGCGCCCGACCCCGCGCCCTCCGCCCCCGCGCCCTCCGGCGGCAGCAGCCCCAGGCGGCGCAGGTGCGGCTCGCCCGTCACCCCCAGCGCCAGCACGTCGCCCACCGCCTCGTGGAAGCCTGTACGAGCACCGCACGGCGCGCCTCCGCTCAGAGGATGCAAAGCACCAAATGGCGCGCGCCACCCGAAATAGTGCGCACACACCAAACAATATATATATATATATATATATATATATATATATATATATATATATATATGCACCAAGAGCGTTATATTCTTAGCAGAACGGAATCTGAAACCTCCAAATCACTAGTACCCTCGAGCCAATATGCGTAGTCTTCACTTTGTGCAGGTGTTAGGAGAATTGATGGGGTTGAAACAGTAACAAGGTAAATCAGACGATCCACAGAAAGCCTCCCGCTATTGGTAAATGTTTGTATCTCAATTTTAATGTATTTTGTAGCATCTTCTTACTGTCGCAAGACCTTCATAAACATGAACATGATTAAGATGATAAACTGCTTTTTCATCAAAATTGAGACACTAATATTTAGCAATAGCGGGGGGCTTTCTGTGGCTAGCGTGGCGTATCTTGTTAGTGTGCAAAGCCCCTCCGCCCCATAACCGTAGAAAGGATACAGGGTCCCCACGTCTTTTGTTTGGAGTTTTCGAGAATGAAAGTTGGCGAACGTGAAATCTTGTGTATGTTTCTTTGAGGATAAGATTCGTCTGTCACTTATGTTATTGTTTGTTTGGCACACCCGTAAAGAAAATTAGAGATACGTTACATGTATGTATGTAGGGATGTAAGTACGTCTCCACCCCACCCACCCCTCCCATAAAAAAAGAACCTCTTATTTCGCACTCAACAAAGAAAACTGCCTTGGTGCTCACTTCTATGCACTCTGACAAAAGCATAGCGCAAGGAAAGCAAAAAATAATTGAAATGAAGAGTGTGAGCAAGTCCAGAGAACAAAACATGCAAAACATGCAAAAATGCTTGCTTCAAATGAAACAAACGTGTCTTCCAAGAACACGGAATAGACACGGTGTTTTTCATGCAATACGAACTCATTATAGGTGAAAGAATATTGCCGCTTACTTTAAATGATGATTCACTAACCTTGTATTCTGTTTTATTCTATTGTTTGGGGCAACAGTTTACCCCACGTACGCATCTACGAATGTAGCGTGATTGTAAGAACGTGATCCGTGATCCAAGAAGACGGGTGTTTTTCATGCAATATGAACTCATTATAGGTGAAAGAATATTGTCGCTTACTTTAAATGATGATTCACTAACTTTGTATTCTGTTTTATTCTATAGTTTGGGGTAGCAGTTTACGCCACTTACGCATCTACGAATGTAGCGTGATCCGTGATCCAAGAACACGGGTGAGACACGTGTTTTTCATGCAATACGAACTCATTATAGGTGAAAGAATATTGCCGGTTCACTAACTTTGTATTGTGTTTTGTAGTATAGTTTGGAGTAGCAGTTTACCCGACGTACGCATCTACCCATGTAGCGTGAGTACTGACCGGGGTTGGCTGCCTCGCGGAAGGCGAGCGGCAGGCGCGCGTACTGCAGGAAGTACTGCACGTGGCCCATCTCGTGCGCGGCGACGGCCAGGTCGTCGAGCGAGGGCGCGGCGCAGGCCTTGACGCGCACGTCGCGCCCGTCGAAGAAGTCCCAGGCGGAGGCGTGGCACAGCACGCGGCGCGGCGGCGCGGGCCGCGCGAACAGCGAGCGCCGCCACAGCTCGGCCGGCGCCGCCGCCAGCCCCAGCGACTGCGCGAAGCGGTCCGCCTCGCGGAACAGCCGCTCCGAGCTCCAGTTCTGCAAACGCCAACCACTCGCGTCACGTTTACAACTCTCGGCTATCCGGGGTCGTTGGTTGGGAGGCCGACGTTTCGCCTGACATGTCGCAGGCCTCCTCAGGCAATGACTGGTCGTCACTGCCCTGAGGAGGCCTGCGACATGTCAGGCGAAACGTCGGCACCCCAGCCAACGACGCGGCGTCTCCCGGATAGCCGAGAATTCATGGATTCGAGCCGCGGAAGCTTACGTGTGCAATATAATCTTTATTGTGCTTATTAAGAATACATAGAAATATGGTTTCGTTTTCTAATTAGTTACTACAAACACACAAGACAAACAATGAAACATTATAATATTTACATATTACTTAATATACAATTTTACAAAATTTATCTCCTGATCCCATCATGCTAAAGCTGACATACTAATATAAAATAACAATAATATCAATATATAATAATCAATTTTAATGTTATCGTATTGTAGAAAATTACAATTTATTTAAACTATTTTTAAAATTTTTGACATTCTGAGGGAAGGTCTATTGCACTATTGAAGGAAACTCCTGGCACGTCAACTGCAAAGGTCACTAATCCCATTAGAGTAGTAAATGTTTTATTCGTCAGTGATTGATTCCTCCCGGATGGTGAGAGCAGTGAGTCAGCTTTACGTGCACATAACGATGGAGTCTTGACTAACACTAAGCGTAACCTCAAGTGGTGAAAAAACTAGTCAACCTTCATGCGCATAGCTATGGTGAATTCCAACATTAAGCGCACATCCCAAGTGGTGATAGAGCTAGACAACCTGCTTGCGCATGAGTATGGCGTCTAATGATTTACACCAACCGCACGCCCTCAACTGGTTGTAGAGTTAACCAACCTCCTTGCGCATAGAGATGGTGACTTCTGTCGAACATTAAGCGCAGAACCCAAGTGGTGTTCAAACTAGCCAAGGTCGTTGCGATGTAGACGTGAGTTACATTAATCGCATGCCCCAACTAGTGAAAGGTCTATCCCACCTGCTTGCGCGAAGCGATGGAGACGTGATTTACAATAAGGGCGAGAGCCAAGTGGTGAAGGATGTTAGCCAACCTCCTTGCGCATAGCCATGACGACCAACATGAAGTGCATGACCCAAGAGGTGATGTTGATGGACCACCTGCTTCCGCATAGCAAAGGCAAATTATAATTCTAAGCGCACTTCCCAAGTGATGATGGTGGCCCACGTGCTTGCGCATAGCAATGGCAACTTTTAACTCTAAGCGCACGCCCCAAGTGATGATGGCTCACCTGCTTGCGCATAGCGATGGCAACTTCTAATTCTACGTGCACGCCCCAAGCAGTGATGACCGCCCACCTGCTGGCGAATAGCTATGACGACTAACATGAAGTGCACGACCCAAGAGGTGATGTTGATGGCCCACCTCTTGCGCATAGCGATTGCAACATTTAATCCTAAGCGCACGCCCCAAGTGGTAATGCTGATGGCCCACCTGCTTGCGCATGGCGGCGGCGATGTCCGGCCTGGGCCTGTGCGGGAAGGGCTGCGCGAGCGGCGCGGCGCGGCCCCAGGCCTGCGCGGGCGGCGGGCCCAGCAAGTGCGCGGGCAGCGGCGCGCGGCGCGGCGCGGCCGCGGCACCGAAGTGCGCGCGCAGGCGCTGGCGCACGTGCGCGTGCAGCTCCTCGTAGAGCGGGCGCAGGCGCTGCCACAGCGCGCGCACGCGCCAGCGCACGCGCGGCTCCTCGTACGGCGCCAGCCACAGGGCGGACGCGTCCGGCAGCCCTGCCACACGCGACCGCGTACAGGGGCGTTTCAAATCATGGCGCAATACGCTGGGCTAAAAATACCAAAGGGCGTTGCAAGTTTTTAGCTGAACGGATGCGCGTTTCGTCGCATGGCGGGGTCGGGTGAGCGGGGGTCGGGTGATCAAGTGAGTGGACGTGCACTCACCGTTGAGGCGCGCGGCCTCGTTCATGAGGCGCACGAAGACGGGGTACTGGTGGCGCATGCGCCGGCCCGTCGCGTCGTGCCACGCGGTCCAGTAGTACGCTAGCTCGGCCGGGTCCCTGCTCGTCGCCATCACGCGCATCACGTCTGCAACGCAAAGCAATCAGAAAGACAAACCGCCATTTTCAAGACAAAACGCCCTCACAAGAAGATGTGAGATGTAAAATATCAAATGATATCGATACGGAACATTAGTTACTCAGAACCTCGACCTAAGAAATCCACAAAAGTGGCGAGAAAATAATATATGTGAGGATTCTCTAAATTTAATATTCCTTGTTATATCTAGTAATATTACTTCCTTTTTATTTGATATTCTTAGCCTGTTATAGTTTCTAAAATAAACACCGTTCGTATATTATGTGCTCGTATTTATTGATACATTTTCCCATTATGTTTCGGAAACTCATATTTTCCCATCATCATGAATAATATAAAAAATTAATTACACGTTATTCTCTCTATTTGTTACGTATGACTATTCTAAGACTGTTCATTATTTATCTAAACTTTAATTTATCTAAACTCTAATTTATCTAAACTTTGTTTTGAAACATTCATTTATTCTTGCTCAATTTAATTATAAAAATGCCATTGTATCATTATCTGTTGTTTTTAACATTTAAAGTAACTCTTTTCTTTTTCATAATTTTACGATTATGTATATCAATTTTTGGTATAAAATATAAATGTTAGTCCCACCTTTGTATAGTTTTCATGATATAGAACGCTTTGAGAGAGGCCGTTCTTTTTTTAGTCACGTAATGTACACTGAGAGAGTCCACGTCTAGTGCCTCACTGGGAATAGAAGGGGTTGGCGATCGATTATCAGAGTTCGTTTAATTTCATGCTTTATAAGAAAGTTTATAATTTTCTTGTGTTAGAGCATAAATTACGGTATCGTATTCCGGTATCGCACGATATACTATTATGATATCGTAACAGGCTGCCGATATCAAATAAAATACTTAATATTACTACATATATGTAAAGGTAAAGGTAAAGGTAGTTATGTGAACTGTCCTTAAATTCCATTTTATAGTTAAAAGTTTGTTGTAGAGAAATTAATTTCAAATAATAAAATTAATATAAAAGTTACGTTCTGCTGAGCTAACAAGTTTTATTTGATCCCTGAATAGTCTAACAATAGGAATGTTTGCAATACCATTCACGTTCTTCATTTTGCCCTAAATAGTATTACAAATATGAAAAGCTTGGCGTATGTGAAAGTGATATGTAATGACTATGTGACGATGAAAACAACAGTATTGTCTTTTTTGTTCAGAAATACTCTTCTGATTCTTTATATGTTGTCATACTATTTTAGTTTGTTTCTTGACTAAACAATAAGCTTAACTATTAAGTACACACTTCCCAGCTGAGTCAAAACGGCGCGGCGAAGGTGTAACAGCGTGTCGGATTGTTCGCGGTTTCAAACCCCTTCAAATCCGATACAAACTGGATTTTAAGGGCGAAAAAATCCGTCGTACGCTGTCCATCGCAGGGGAAGTAAAGCCGACTGTCCCATGTTAGTAGATTTACTGCATGTAAAATATTCTCAAGCGTAAATGACGCCTCTGAGCTAATTTCAAATCCCCAGACCGATACCTCCTTTCTCCGCTAGTGGGTGAAAGGAGCGAAGCAAAATTTGCGTGGTCGGCCGGAAGAGCGGGCCTGATGGCCCGAGTCTCGACACGGCATCAATTCAATTCAAAACTAAACGTCCCAGTGGAGAACGGCGTCGGCGTACCGGGGTCGAGGGGCATGCTGCACTCGTTGCGGCTGCGGTAGCTGCAGACGGTGGCGCCGCCGTACGCCTCCTCCATCTCGGCCACCACGTCCTCCAGCTCGCGCACCTTGGCGTCGCACAGCGCAGCGGTGCCCGCGAACGCCGTCACGGCCAGGCGCCGCGCCACCGCCGCCGGCACGCCCTCCGCGCCCTTGCCCTTGGCCGCGTCCGCCAGGCGGCGCGCCGCTCGCGCCAGCGCCCGCTGGAAGCGCGCCTGCTCCACCGCCGACTCCACCTGCGCACCCCACCAAGCCATTCCAACCGGCGGCCAAAAACAACAGAAAAACGATGCGCGGTGAAATATTACAGGAGGAAGATAGATTAGTTATTTCGTGAAGCCGAGCGCGACAACTGCTAAGATCATTAGTCCCGTAAGTGCAGTGCATATTTTTCCCTCTGTACGTCAGCTAGCAGGGCAACGGTTAGCCCCAACTAGGCATCTCCCATCCTCTTTTAAACACTAAACTACCTACGAAGGAATATCGTAATCGAGCTCTGAAGTATAAAGTTGTTTCTCTGAATCACCAGCAATACTGTGGTTAAAATGTACTGATTTTGCACAGTAAAGTGCGCATCACTTCTCCTTGGGAGAAGTATCCAGTCTGGACGACCTTTTGTTACAAGCGAATCGAGTAGAAATTATACCGTATAAAACAGATTTAATTAATTTCATAAACAATAACAATTCGATTGACAAATAGTATTCCTTGATATTTGCACTTTCACACGAAACTACAGTTAACGTAATTCATGTCGCAATTGAAGCATAGGCGATACCGTTTGACTCAGGTTGACTTCTTGCGGAGGAATCTGTGAACTCAGAAGATGTCACAACGGAGGGAGATACTCAATCACGTCTCAAAACACCGACTTCTTGGCTTTGCAACAAGTAGATTTGGCAAAAAATTACATTCACATTTCGTGTAAGAAAGTACACAGTAAAACCTATAAAACAAATTGCTAAAGTAGCCGAAACAAATTTCTGAATCATTACACACCGTAGATCGTTACAGGCTACCCAATGTTTTGTGATCAGCTAGAGTATGCGTAAATGTCCCTCCTGTGCATGCACAGCCTCCCGTGTCTCGGGCGCACTCTATACTCCGAAAACTCCCTAATACTCCTTAAATACAGTTGCACCTCAAGGCCACGAGCTGGTCGGAGAGGGTCTGCCAATAAATGAAAGCGTAACCGTCTCCACGCACCTCGTCGCGCCGCGTCTCCTCCGTCATGTTGGTCTCGTAGTTCCACTGCGCCAGCGCGCTGGCGCGCATCTGCGCCGCGCTCAGCTCGTCCAGGCGGTCCAGCACCGCCGTCAGCTGCTGCGCGTCCAGCTTGTCGGGCCGCGCCAGCAGCTCTTCGGGCAAGATGGCGGCGATCTGGGCGGACGCGTTCGTCGCCTTCGCGGGCTCTGCTTCGCAGGTGGTCGCCGGCGCCGTTCCTGCCGCCTTGACCGGCGTGGTGCTCGACTCGGACGTGGCGCCTCCCTCGGACGTGCTGGTGACTTCGAGCTTGGGGGCTTTCGCCAGCTTCGCCACGGGCAGGGCGGAAAAGCCGTTGGGGGACGCCACGATGACCGTCACGCTGACGGGTTTCCCCTTCGAATCGATCGCTTCTTGAAGTTGGTTTTCCGACGAGTCGGTGTCCGCGGGCGTGCGCAGCGGCCCTTGCCGCACCGAACCGCCGGCGGCGTCGGCGGACGCGGGTTTCATCGACGCGAAGACGCCTCCGGTCTGAGGCACCAACACAACCGCCCGGAGCGGGGCGAGGTTTCGGTCGGGGGCGTGGCCTCCGGGTGGTGATTCGGGCTTGGCTGGGTGCGGTGCGGCCGCGGACTCCGCGCCAGAAGGCTCAGTCTCGCTGCCAGAGGCGACGTCCGTCAGATCTTCAGCAAGTGTCGGCTCCGGGGCAGAGTCGGAGGTAACGGCGCCTGGTAGAGAAATACTTCCGGTAGCTCCCTATGCAAACAGTACCGAGACATTGCTTGGTACTTATTTCTAGGGAACGCGTTTGCTTCCAACACACGTGTGCCTCAATATCGCGAGATCTTTTTTATCTAAACATATCTGGATAAGTTTATTTAACAACAAGACGAGAAATTACTTATTTCTCATTTTTTTAGCTACATATGAACACGAATTCCCTAAATGAATATTTTAAAATCATAAATATAAACCATATTAATTGTAATTTGACATGTATCTGTTTAATTGTAACCTCGAGCACTAATACCCTCCTATGAGTAGTGAAATATCATTAATTGATTGATTTTTAATTAATAAAATGAAATCAATTTTCAAAATTGTTTCTCCAAAAATCTCTTTGTTCACCATGTTGTAAAACACGGTCATTAAAATGGAATGTTCATTGTAGTTTCACAATTACTGTAAGCAACTGACATCAATAGCAATTGTAGCACATAAAGTCGAAGAGAGAAGAATTTAACTTTAAGTTAAAATCGAGCGTTATTATGAATAACACTAAACGGTATTTGTGTCACTAAAAATGTCAAAATGATGAAAGTGAATATAGCAAGGAAGAAGTGCTAGACAGAACTAATGTATTAAGCAGTTATGCTTCGAAATTTGTGCAGCAATTTTGAAGCCACAATGATGATTTTTATTTATTTTATAACTTTTTACAGGATCTGAATATGATTCAAATTAAGGCATGAAACAAAAATGTTAAAATATCTTAAATATCGAGATATAAACTAAAGTGTTATTTCCTTCAACATACTCGTAATGGTGAAACAAGAACCGAATAAAAAGGTTACAGTATAGGATTTCATGATTTCGTAATTTTCGTTTTACTTGCTACACAAAGTGGAAGTTTCGAAAAGTAATTAGTATTGTATAACATATCTGTGTGTTTCAGAGATCAGACATTTAATTATTACTAATTATAAAATACTTATATTTTGCCCTGCGAGCGCAAGAAAGAGTCAACAGCGGCGATACCGGAAGTTCTGAAGCATTAGTTGAAATTGTTTAATAAACATTTGAAAATCGAATCCCAAACTGGGTCCATAAGTGAAGCGTTTTCTTAGCACACATCGAAACCTAAACAAATTTTATTAATCTAAACGTAAATCCAGAAGTTCTTTGAAATGGGTTGATGACATTTTTACATGATCACGGACGCAAATTTCCTTACCTCTCTGTCAGATTCGCCAATCTCTTGAGATGGGCCAAATTCATTTGTAGACTCTTCGGAATCGGAGTTTTCATTTATTCCTTGTATCATCGAGCCCATTTCAGACAAGGAAGGTGCAACGTCTGGACTCTCCTTGATTTCGGAGACCAGTGACTTCACAGGTAAAATTGAAGACTTCAAAGCTCGAGTCGATAAGGGATTCTTAGATATTCCGGATTTTTTAGATGTTCTAATTACTTGAAATGCCGGAGGGAGTCTATCGGAGGAAAGTTGTTCATCGCTTTGTTCAAGGTCTTTCAAAGTTTCATAGTCTTCCGGATTCATAGTTGACGATAAAGGTTTAGAAATACTCAAATCTCTCTCTTCGTTCACTAAATTGTTGGCATCAGGTTTGATTTTCCCCGATTTCGATCCGGTAAACCATCTGAAGACAGATGCAAAGTTTGAAGGGCGATCAGAAGTCCTCATTATTAGAGTATCATCGGATTCCGTGACTGAATCACTCAGAGAAGTTCTTTTCGTGGAGGAACTACGCGACACTGTGTGACCATGAGTACTTTCGGAACTATGAAATTTCGTTTTCTTTAAGACATCCTCATTCGCTTCTGTTTGATCTTTCCTTTCCGTGTGAGAGACATGAGAGTTGGTCCTAGAAGCAGGGTGTTTTCTGGAGCTACTTTGAGCTTTGTGAACATGATGCACGTTTCCAGTATGTTGAATGTTTCCAACAGCCTGTCCTTTTAACGATGGAATGGAATCCACTTTTAGGTTTTCATCTGTCAATTTATTTGCCGCAGCTGGAATAGGAGAAATAATTTTATCAGATTCAGACGTTACTCGTGCTGTAGCCATTATATTGAGAGTAGGGGTTGCATTGGTATGATGCGGCATATAAGCATGCGCGTTTACTTTCACACGACTATTTTTCGCAATAGGTCTGTCCAGATAATTGTGGGAATGTTTGATATCCATTTTATCACGTGACTGTATATTGTTTGCAAAAGCAGGTTCATTCTTTTTGAAATGTGATTCCTTCACGACATAAGATGTGGTGTCAGCCAAAGACGATGTTAACTCGTTTTGTGCAAACGCTTGTTTAGCATGGGGTTGAAGTTGGAAAATTGGCAAATCCTGAGCAACTGATTCCATATTCGAATTAATTGTAGGCGCTACCTCTCTCGAAATGTCATTGCCTGGAGCCTGAAGGAAATGAGTCTCAGGAATCTGTTTCAGATATTGAGGGACAATTCGCGGTGAAATGTCTTTCAAGGCGTAATCAGACACTGACTCAGGGGCAAATGCAACAGCCGATTCAGTCTGTGCAGCACAAGTCGCTGACTCAGAAGATATTGGCACATTTGCGGACTCAAGTTCGGGAACGTCAGAAAACGTCCGCTCAGCGTGTAGATCAGTGTTTGAATCAGACGACAGTGAAAATTGAAGAACATCCACCGGCACATACTGCTGCACCAGTTCTGATGGAGGAAACCTTGACACTACATTCGCAGACACATCTTCGTCTGGCTGATCATCTTGCAAACCTGACAGTGCTGGCAACCGCTCGACGCCATTTTGTCCCACGACCGGCGCCATCTTTTCCCCTCCGCCGGGTTCCGTTGCGAAGCCAACCGCACTAAAGGAAGTGCTTCTCTTCTTCATTCTCGAGCCCCCTATCACCCCGACTTCGGCAAATTCTTCCAATAACGGCAAAAAAGGAGGATTCGAATTTCTGGGTGCTGAAGGCTGACGGTCTCGTGAGGAAAACTGGTCGTCAGACTGGGCTGGAGGTACGACTTCCCCGCGTCGCGGCTTGAGGGGCTTCTGGAGCTTTTTGGTGGGACGTCGGCGCGGGGGCATTCGGAGGTTCTGAGTTCTTTGCGACTCGGGCTTCCGACGCGAGAGCTGCGAGAAATCCGGGCTCATGCCGCTCATTCGAGAACGTTGTGGTTCTTGCACGGGCGTGAGGACGAACTGCTCAAAGGGACGACCAACTTGAAGTGACCCCCTGTCGGAATTGCTGGACTCGGGCTCTTGGACTTGGAAGTCCTCGGTGACCGGAGCACTCGGGAAAGAGGTGGGCGTGGCCATTGCAGGTCTGTGCTGAGCTCTTGGTCGAGGCAGGGGCATCTCTTGCTCCAGGTGCTCCAATGACGCTGCAGGATCGGCCGGCGCTGGTGCGTCTGCAGGTGTCGGTTGGGGACCTGCCGCTGGCATCTGCAGGAGGTAGGCTGGAGACTCCAAGGACTGCGGCACCCGCCGTTGCCCGTTCACAGACCACTGCGGACCACACGCCCATTCTAACTTGCAAAACATACAAAGGTTCAATACTTGCGCAACATACATTTAGGTGAGAGGGTTTCATATACAGTAAACAATATATTAGGGCTTCTGAAAAAGTGGTGTTTATCAGGGATAAGCACCATACCAATGATAAACGGAACAGTGATTTTAATATAAAAATTAATTTTATATTATAAAATTAAACATATAATTATATATAAACCATTATTGGAACAGCTTTAATGCAGAATATGAAACCTAAATTGATTAATGTCGCCTACCAATTTTCTTCCATCAGCATCTCTAAATTTACTCAAATGATTAGAATACAAGTAATTCATCAGTAAAGTTCACGTTATCTCACGAGCAATAATTTATAAATTACACTTCCCGCTGTAAAGTAAATTTTCTCATGGTTTGGTGGAAACAAATTGTGAATCAAACACCCGTTTTTCTGGATCCTCTCCAATATTTTATTTGATAACTCTCCCATAACGTATTTCATTTCTTGTACGCAGCAAATTCCAAAGCGACCTATAATTTTATATCTGGTTTGGTTATCACATTGTGCCCTAAAATATTTTACAATATTATAGCGATTTTTGAACCATTACCACAATAACAATACAACACTGTATTGTGAAGAATCGCAATATTATGAACTCAACGAATACTAATATAGTTCCCCCTAACGGCTACTCACCCGAGGGGTGTGTGCAGCTGGTGCTGCCGGCTGGAGCGCCGAAGGGTCCAAGGACAGCGGTAACATCGTCCAGGAAGGGCTCGTCCTCGCATTCACATCCCGCTGGACCCTCTCCTGATTGCGACCCACGCCAGCACCTGCGTTCCAACTGCCGCCCTCGACTGGTGAAGACGCCATGTTCTTCTCAGTTATCATCACGTCAGACGTCACAACACCTTTCTGTGAAAATCTTGACAACGAGTGCTGGTCTAATATCTCGTCGCTTCGCCCGGAGTCTCTTCCTGGCGAGGACACCATTTCCCGCTCACTTCCTGCGATATATGACGTCGCAGCCTCATCTTGTGAAAGCTGTGGCGACAAGGGAGTTCCCGATGGCACATTGCTCCAGCCAGTGTTGCCCACAACTCCACTCGCCACTGTACCATCTTGGGAAAACTTGATTTCAGGAATGTCTGATGGCACGGAGTTCCAGCCAGTGCGATGTTGAGGAATCGCCAACTTGAGGTCAGTGGCCACCATTTCAGATACATCTGAACCACCATCTTGTGAACGCCTGGCCGATGGATTCCCGGGTGGCATGAAGCTGCTTCCAAAAGAAGGCGCCATCCGCCCATTTTCCATTGCTTTGGATATTAGAGGATCATGAGAGGGCCTTGTTGATGGAGATCCTTTAGGAATGTAAATCCAATTCGAACTACCCTCTTTAATGGAAGGCAACTTACGTTCACTTTTCGTGATGGATTCCAAAGGTTCAACAAGCGATAACCTATATGACAGCGTTCTTAACTTCACGTAGCTCCTCTCAGAACCTTCCCCTGGTTTCATTCTCTCATCTTCCATCAGGTTAGACACCATGGATACACCTTGTGAAATGCTTTCTAACGGAATTTCTGACGGACCGAAGTTCAAACCCGCACCTTCTCCTGGCAATGAGACCATTTTCCTCTGACCATCCATTGTGTTGGTGGCCATAATATCACCCTGCGAAATCCTTAGCGATGGATTCCCTGGCGGAATATTACTCAAACCCGTGTCTTTACCTGACAAAGAGTCCATCGTCCGCTTGCTTTCTATCATGTGGGGTAACAACTGCTCATTCTGAAAACTCTTCGGCGATAGACTTCCTGATGGAATGTAGGCCCATGAAGTGACGATCCCCGACAAGTGGGTTCGCTCACTTTCCATTATATTCGTCGTCTCCTCTTTACCACTTGGAATACTATTTGTTGGAGTTTCTGATGGCACGTGGCTCCAAACGAATGTTCCTTCTTGAAGGGTCGCGGCTTTATTATCTTTCTCCACCGTGTAAGATGGCATGGCCTGTCCATTTGCACTCTCTGGTGAAAGAGTCCCTGAAAACAAGTAGTCCCGGCCAGTACCCCGCGCTGATGAAGTCGTCACCTTCTCCTCGCTTTTCACCATATCCGACGTCACAACAACCCCTTGTAAACTATTAGATGGCGATGACTGCACTTCACTCCAACTAGTACCACTCGGTAGAAACGCTGGCACTAATCGCCCACTACCCATTGCAGACATCACAATTCTGTCTGGAGGAATCGTGGGCGCCGTTGGAATCCACGAAGGTTCTTCGCTCTTACATGATCCGCTGCGTAACGAACGTGCACTTTTATGCCCACTTTCCCACAAATGTGGTGTAACAATCGCCTTCTGTGAAAGTAGTGGCATCGATGGAGTAATTAGTAAGACTTGCTTACGATCAGGATTGTACCGAGGCAATGGCGACATCTTTCGCTCAGACTTCATCGTTTCAGACATCAAAGTTCCTGCCAGAGAAATCGTAGGAGGCATTGGAGTCCCTGATTGCAAAGCCTTGCCGTCAGCCCCACCACGTGGTAGGCTCGACAGCATCTGGTCTTTTTCTAAAGTTACACCCGCATTTTGTGAAATCCTATGTGATGATGGAGACGCTGACTTCATTTCACTGGTGCGAGTACCGTCTCGCAGTAAAGTTGCCATCTTTCTATCAATATTAACCATTTCAGATGTCTGCCTTCCCCTCTCTGATAATCTAGGCGATGAAAGCCCAGTTGCTACGTAGTTGCAGCCAAAGTCGCCCTCTTGCAAAGATGTCATTTTGTGCTGATGTCCTAAGTTTTGAGAGGTCACAACGCCATTTCGTAAAAGCCTTGTCGTCAGTGAAGGCGCTTGTTTGGAAACAAACCCGCTCGGTACGAATGAAACCATTTTTCGCACTCGACCCAAATTCTGAAGCATCACGGTCTCACTCTGTGGAATCTTCCGTGTTGTGGATGGTTCCCCACTCCAAACAGAAACGCGCAATGGTAAAGTCGCCATCTTTTGCTCAGGACGCTCCATTCCAGACCTCTTAATCCCACCTGGAGACATTCCTGGCAATAACTGCATCGGTGATGTCACACCGCTCCCGTCTGATCGAGGCATATCTAACATCTTCCCATCACTCTCTACTTTCTGAGGAGCCATGACGTCATTCTGCAAAAGCGCAAGCGTGGAAGGCACTTCTTGTATTGTTTTGACGCTTCCGTCCGTCTGCACGGGAGCCTTCCTCCCCACTTCCCCGAGGGGTTCCACGGCCATCACCTCTTTCATTCGCTCAGCAGCTGCTGAAACCTCCTTGTCCCACTCTGAGACGAAGTCGTCGTTGTTCTGTTTCCCCAGCAGGGCATCTTCGGAAATGTCAGATACTTCATCTCGACCCGTTGCCCTTTCGCTTTGTGCAAAGATTGTGGCCGTCCCGTCAATGGTGACCCGAGGTTCAGAGGTGAGCTCATAAGACAGTTGTCGAGGTTTCTCCACGGCTAGAACCTACAACATGTAACGTACTTCATTATAAACACTAGTAACTCAGTTTCAAAACAATGAATGCAAATATCTTATGTTGGTTGATATTGGGTAAGTGAATTATAGGACTTTTTTAGAAATTTTATAGACAAAAAGATATGATATGATACTTACGGTTTATAATCTCAATTTAATTTAATTAATTTAATTATATGCATCGATTGGTTGTATTTAGAAATTGTTATAGTGTATTGGATGTGATTGTGCAGTGTAGTATATAAATTGTTACCTATATGTACAAAGCCGATTGGCGTGAATAAGTAAATAAAGTAAATTAAAAATTAAAAAATATACATTTACCACAGTTATTCCGATTCTATTCTACATGTCCGTGTACATTTTTGGTCAAATACGGGTGCCTAAATTATGTGAGAATAAAGACCGAACCTTATTATTAACATGATCCGTATTCAATCTCTAAAAGGTTTCTTAAATAAGCGGCGATTGTTATACAATATATTGAAATACCTATAGAATATATATTCCAGAATTCTTAGTATATTTTTATTTGCAGTACAACGATAGTAGTTAACAATAGTTTAATAAAAAGCAAATTGCAAAAAATAAATATTGCAATAGCAAAAAAAGCTTTTGCCAGTAAATATGATGTATAAAATGTTTCTAACTTATTAATAACTTATAACTATTTCCTGACTAAAAATATTTAAATGTACTTTAAAGTGTGCTTATTGTTCATACCAGAGAACAATATTTTAAAACTAAGGAATTAAAATTGGAAACTAAGTAACTGAAGAACATACGAGGGAGATTTAGGAACGATATCATCTACAACTATTAAGGGCACAAAAATGTGACTAGTGCATGGTAGGAGTGTATGTCTTCATTTTTTGCCTACAGATAACACAAATTGCATTAACTGTTTACACTTCAAATACTCCAAACAATATGTCAATGTTATATATCGTGTGAAAGCTAACAAAAATGCAGATAATATTGTTGGGATATGAATTTTATTTCCCAAAGTCAGCGATAAATTGTGAACTGTAAAGAGATTGGTGGACAAATTCAAACCTACAATTTGATCATCAGTCATCTCACGTATCTTTAGTCGGAAACGAATCAGGTCGCCGCCGGCTGCGCTCACCTGAGACGGACGCATTGCTTTGGAAAGTTCAGGTGGCACTGGCAAAACGGATGGAAGCTGGGCCCCATCTGCCACCGGCGCGTCACGCTGGGTTCTCTGGCCGGCATGGCTTCGGCGAACACGGCCACTAGGGATCCAACCGGTGTTGCCGCTTTGAGGAGAGGACGCCGTCTCAGGTTGACCAGTCCTCACGTCGGGCGCTGCCTCAACTTCTCCTTGGGAAGGAATAAATGTTGCTGGAAATGACACCTTGTGGAACACCGATTTCGCATACGAGTCCATCTCCATGTCTGGATTTTTCCCCTGCGCTTTCACTGCTTCTAGCGACAATGCATTTTCCATTTCCACGGCGGCTGTGGATATTTCCTTATTCCACTCTGTCACGAAGTCGTCGCTGTTGGGGTGTTTACCTTGGAGGTCATCTTCGGATCTCGCGTCTGATATCTTAGTCTCCTCTCGTGTATCTGACATTGCGTTCTGTCGTATGAGGCTTGGTAAGCTGGAGGGTGGATTTTCGTCGATGGTGTAGGCATTCGGAGAACTGGTGGTTAACTTGCTGAAGGGTTCTTTTTGCCAGTCTTCCATACCCAAGAACTGAAACATTCCAGATATTATGACATAGAAATTTATTTGAACATATCAACTAAACATATAAATAAATCATCTGTATTTACCATCCGCGTTAACCAAGTAGTATATGTCTACATAATGCTTTACATGTTCAACATATAAAAAGGAATGCAATGATTTTTTTATGTTTAGAGAGAAAAATATTTTAAATATTTGCTTAATGTCTGTAATACATACTATCATAAAACAAGATATTTTTTTTGAACTCAGTAATTTTATATCAATCTACCAACAACCCTTATTTCTCTTATCTCACTTTTCAAGGACGTATTATATCTGCTCATGCACATTCTGGCAGAACATTCGAGGAGTGACTTTACACGGATAAGCCTGTCAAGAAGGACTAAAAGTTACTTAGTCTTAATTATATTCCAATTTTGAGTCAATTTACAGCATTCCCGTTTATCATGTTGCCTTTGCTAACCCTTGCCACCAGAAATGTTAAGATCGGGCCCCCGAGCACGCGGCATTGCAAAGTGATATGAAGGGTATTCGCTCTTTGTTCTGACGTCCCTAAATCTGTCTCCCGATCATTGAGATCTTGACTAAATAAAGCAGCTGCATGCCTCTCAACAATCCACTGACCTCTGCTCTTGGCCAATTGCTTGTCATAGCCTATGTTTTTTCGTTGGAGCCCCCAGGTAGCAACTCGGTGCAAACCACTATACGCAGCGATTATCTCTCGTTTGCGATATGTTAATAAAAAAAGTGTGATTACGAGAGTAGAGTAATCATACAAACTAAACAAATGCATATTATATACGATTATAACTAAATACATTTAATTATCTATACATCCTGCGCTTTGTCTAGCATTGTTTTAAAAGTAAAAATACCTTCATGTAGGATCGACAGAGTAGCAGTGCCTTCCAAGATAAAAAAGAACGTCGATGAAG